TAAAGAAGAAAATTCATCTATGGAAAGTAACCGTTCTTTATAAATAGTAAACTGATCACGAGGGCTTCAGATATACCATTTTAGTTAACTAATTTATAAAAAAATCGCTATCTTCTATTTCAACAACCACCTAAATTTTTTGGGGATCTATACAATTACGATCGACATCAGGGACTTGTATTCGTACAGTATCTGCAATTTGAGAGTATCGTTTCGACCTCCCACCAGAGCTTATCCGTACTTGATACCATTTACCGTAGATGGTTATAATATAAGATGTTGAATTCAAATAGTTTGGTTTTTTTACCGATGGATTTAGTTTGTGATGACGCAAAAGAATGTTAATATTTTTAATGTCGGTCTTTTATATACTGTTTTGTAAGTTAATAATATCGAAGTCTTAACGTTATTGAAAACTTTCTTTATAACCCTCGCTTCTTGATTTAAAATAGGAAGGACGACTTGAATTTCTAAAACGGAAGTGTAATTGTCCTTTACGTCACCGTAATCCATCCTCCGAATTGATTTCTGCAAAACTCGGTCTTAGCGGTTTACTGCTCAACAAAAGAAACACGCTTTCGAAATTTCAAGTTTGTTAGTCTAAATACTAAAAACGAAATTTTTTATCTATAACGCCTTCGTAACACCTCAGATCAACACGCTTTGTGAGTTTATTTCGATGAAATACCGTTCTTAGCAGATATCTACTCAATAAAAGTAACATGCTCACCAAATTTCAATCCTACAGATCGAACAGTTGTGGAGATCTCACGATGATTGAGAGCGTGAATCCCTTTTCTCCTACATATATATAAAGAGTTATATATACATACAATTACAGTCGAACCTCCATATAATGAACCACTATATAGCGAACTTTTTCCTGGAACCAAGAACATTTCACGATTTTCTTCGTAAAATAACATCCCAATATTGGAGTGCATTTTCTACTTCTCCCTATTTTTGAAGTATTTCTAGACGTTTTGAGTTATTCTATGTTATTCTACACATTTTATGGTGATCATAAATCTTGAACGGTTTTTATTAGGTGCCTAACTTGCCGAGAGCAATGGAATCCTGGGCATTTCATCCAAAAATGTAACCTTTAACCCCCATTGTCCAATTCACTGGAAACATCTTCCCCTTTCACCCTCAGTGGAGTCTCTTGTCCTTAGCCTAGTCTCCGTTCATTTGTAGTATTGATCAACCATACTGGTAACTTCGTTTCTTGTAGCTCTAAAATGTCAACACGTAAGTGCTTGTGCATTAAAGAAAAATAATTAATTCTTCAGGAAGTGAATAAAGGCGCCATGAAACTTTTCTTACACTTTTTCTTTCTTTTATAGGTAGGATATATAAAATATATCTTAATTCATAAAAAGGTGTACATAACTACTTTTTTTAATACATAGTGTATATGAATTAAAAAAAAATTTTAATGTTGTTTATAAAGAAAATTGAATGATGAACTTCTATATAACGAAATTTTTTTTTTGGGGGGATTTAGCGACTTAGTTACATAGAGTAGATTGTACATTTATCATATATTTCAGTACTTTAAGCCTGTCATAAAGCTAAACAAAATTTAGAAGTATAAGAAGACAGTATATAGTTCATTGATAAACGGTTAAGGTAATACGTTTTAAGAAATATGATTGTGGAATTAAACAGGTAATATAAAAAAAATTAAGTCAATTCCTACTTAAATTAACAACGAAAAATTTTATTTTAGCTACTTTTTATTAAATAGTTACAATTGATATAAATATGTATATACATATGACAGAATCACAACATTATGTGATAATTATTTCTTTAATTATCATTAAAGTATCGTATTGTCATCCAAAACAATCGTGTATATAAAATTTCAGTTCAACTGAATGCTTCAAAACGTGAGGAAAAAACCTTTTCAAGTTTTAACGCAAGTCGCCAAAAATGATGCCAGCGTGGCTGTATTTGTTATTCTTTAAAAAGTTAGCTTAAATCAATTAATTTTTATTAATTAAAATTAAATTATTGTATTACCATCCAAAATAATCATGTATATAAAATTTCAGCTCAGTTGAGAGCTTTAAAATGTATTTTATTAACGCTTGGAAATTCCACCAAGATAAATAAATAAATAAACAAACAAATAAATAATTAAATATATAGAGAGTGTGACCTAATAGTAGAAATTGAAAAAAGTACCTTTTTAGAGACCCAACTTTCTCTTCTGTTGTTTATAAATTTCTCTCTCTCTTTGTGAGCGCGCGCGTAATACAATATATCTTAAACTGCATTACTTCAGAAAACGAACCAAAATAAATCAATGAATAAAATTTGAGATAAACGTTTGTTGTAACAGTAATTTTTAACCAAGCAGTTAGAGACTTTATCTTTAAAAATGTAAAATTTGAAAAAATGCTGCATTCGAATGGAATTAATACTTTCTTTGCTTTGATTTTCTGTAGTCAACATCATGCCGTTTCATCATTAATACAGCTTTATGTGTAACAATACCATAATGTTACTTTTTTATCCTTTCGTTTTCAACTTGTATTCTGTTTCCGAGAGTTTTAATGTTTATTTCTGCTCTACATTTTTGTTTTTCAGTCCTTCTGTGTCAACAAAACTTGTTTCATATTTTTAATTACTGTAATCCAAATGAAATAATCGTATCAATTGCTGACACAAAACATTTCTAATGTTTTCATGGCATTACATCACTGTCCGGTTCAAAAGAACAATTGCCGAAAGAATTGGCAACTGTATACACAAGAACATCGGAACAAGTAGAGAATGAGTCAATTTGTTAACTGACAGCGGGTTTAAATTAAACCAATTTAAAATAAATAAAGGGAACGTGTTTTTCATTGAATTAAGAAACTGACTAATCTATTTGTAAAATTTAGATAAAATTTCAAATTTTTTAATTGGATAAAGATATTTAAATACTAAAGAAAAAAAATTTCAAAACATTCTTAAGATTAAAAAAGATTCTTGTATTATACGCGTACTTTTAGACCAAAAGTGCTTTGCTTACTTATATGCGTTATTATTTTAGACAAATATGTAATTTTTAAAATAAAGTTTCTACAAGAAGCAAAAGTTGGCAACAGCAAAGCGCTTGAATTGATTAGCTGAAAACGCGTAACTGCATTTATCATATGACTGTGACATCGCATGAATTTAATTAAATGACTGACTGGAAACACGTGATTGTAGTTATCATGTGACTATGACGTCATTTGAATTTGGTCCATTCTTTATTGATCAAATTATTGCTTTTATCGGACAATATTTTTTATCCAAAAGTTGCGTATATTATATACAAGAATTATGTATGAATTTAAAAATAAGCGTATCATATCGATATACGAATCTGATATCAATATCCAATATGAATGTTTTATTTAAGTTTCTCTCAGTGTGAGAAAAAATAACTGTTTTGAATCAATGAAGTTAAATGTAATTTCTCAAAAATATTGTGATTTTATCTGTTACTTTTACATGTGTACATGTATTTCATGTTGTTTTATTAGAGCACTTGTACTTGTAAAAAGTAAATATTACATTATTTCACCATAATATTAAAAAAAAACACCCATAATTTTAAATCAATGAATTGAACAAATTCTGTCAAAAATGTTTACAAATCCATCATTAATTTTTCATCCCGGCTCAAATTCTTCAGATAAAATTCTGTTTAAATGTTCTTAAGTATTAATATAGCTAAATCCATGGGACGGCATAGTCACGTGATAACTGCAATCACGTGTTTCTGGCCAATCAGTTCACAAATTCATATAACATTATAGTCACATGATAAATACAACACGAGTTTCCAGCTATTCAGTTCAAATGCTTCACTGTTCCCAACTTTTGTTTTTTTAGAAACTTTTTTTTTTGAAAAAGAACATTTCTCAGTATTAATAAAGCACATAGGTAAAAGAAATGCACTTGATTTAAAAGTATCCGGACAATGTAAAAAAAATTTTAATTTTGAAATCTTTCTGAAGAATCTCTTAATACTTGAACGTTTTTACCCAATTATCAAGTTAGAAATTTTATCTAATTTTTACAAGTAGAACAACAAGTACAATGTTAGTTTTTTAAAAAAAATTTAATGGAGATCACGTTGTTGTATTTACCATGTAACAGTCATGACTTTAGCCCAATATCTATCACAAAATTGCTCTTTATTTATTATACATTATACTTCATATGATTTCGGAAATACATTTTTCCCCTTTACACCTCCATATTTATTTCCTAGTTTCTTCTTCCTTCATTTTTACCCCGAAATTTATGGTATGGTAGAAATGCCAAGATCTTTTTTTTATTTCTTCCTTCCTTTCTTTGATGTGCTATGCGAAGTATGAAGGGTAAGGACTCCCCACATGGAGCAAATGAGGTTGGAAGGATGGATTCTTCCGATTCCTACAGCTGAACGCCTTCACGAAAATGAAGCTTCAGGTATTTGCCATCCTAAATTTTTTCACCCTTGGCGTGGAAACCGAAATAATGTATTGAAGACAGGCATACAAAATCCAAACAAAACTTGGTTATTTTTGACTTAGTCTTGACGTTGCTCTTTCTTTGGGGATATTTACAGCGACTGTCTTAAATAAAGGAAAAAAATGTTTTTCACTTTAAAAAGGAATACGATTTATTCCAGAAAAAGCACCTGGATTTTTTTATACGAACACTGTGGTAAAAAAAGTTTCTTTTTCAATTCCTTCTATTAGTTCACGCTGTCCCTATATATATTTATTTACATATATATATATATATATATATATATATATCTTTTCAAATTCAATCGTTAATAAAGTATTTTTTATACAACCATTCAAGTTCAAGTACATCTTTTTTAAACTTGTATTGGATGACACTTGATGTTAGTACAGTTTTTTCAAATATTAATTCATTAATTAAATTTAAAAAATGAATAAATAGTAACAAAAAAATAATAGTTCAACAACATAAATAGAAAGGAAAATTTTTTTCGTTGTGTCCCTGTAACACAATTTATAGCGCGTTGGACTTCTAATTCCAAATGTCGTGGACTCAAATCCCATTTGGGATGACCTAATTTCTGAGAATGGGATTTTTTTTACTATACTATTTTATTAGAATAATAAAATTTAATTAATAAATAGAAACAAACAAAAAATTGTCCAGCACCTTATATAGAAAGGAAAACGAAAAATTGCAAGGTAAATAGCTTCTTATTTGTCACTTAATATTGTGATTCTGTCGTAGGTATATACATATTTGTATTAATTGTAACTATTTAACAAAAGGCATCTAAAAAAATTTTCTTTGCAGACCTAAGTAGGATTTGACTTAATTTTTTTATATTACTTATTTTTGTCTATCATTTACAAATTTGAATTGTATCGATAAAAAATAAAAGAAAAAAAATATTCTTAAACATCTAGTTGAGAGAATGTTCGTTGAGAAATTTTTTTATTATTCTGAATCGCGCGTCTGTAATGTAGTAGCAATTTGTTTTTTTCTATTTACATAATCTTCTGCAAAGCTTGTGCGGGTGATGTTCGCGTTCGTGCGAAAATTCTGGTTTCCTTTCAAAGTCAATGAGGTATGTCATGCTACTTTGAAATGACATTGAAAACTGATTTTTTAAAATGAATTTACTCTTAAATTCTTTGATGTAACAGTCATTTTTGCGTTCGTTCCATTGAAACCCTATTTCAAATATGGAAAACATTGTCATTCTCAGATAAAATTAAAAGATTTAATTTTACTAGAAAAAAATTAAACAGTTTTGATTAAATTATTTGTCGAGAATTTCGGGGGGAAAAATTTAAGGAAAAAATATTTCAAAAAAATTCTATTATTTAGAGTGTACATAATTAACATGATAAGTATCACTAAAATAATACATAATCAGCTTGTTCATTGCATAATTAACAATTTATATGTATTACATATATAATTAACAGTTTTATATTTTCTTTTATAGTATTATATTTTAGAAATATTGAAATAACATTAAAGATAAATTCTTTATTGGGAGCTCCTGCTATGCATAGGAAGTTTGTGTTTATTAAATGGATAACAGAATATTATTTAATCTGGTTTATTTAAAACATAAAAATATTTTAAGAAAAACATAATACGCCTTTGCGAATTGCATTGCAGATAAATTTTGGTTTTGATGTTTGTTACGCTCATTAAACAACTGTTTGTAGTTATAATGATGTAGAAAGTCTGAACATGACAGTTCTTGACAGTGTCTGAGATATCTTTTTTGTTTTTTCACTCTGAGGTTTCAGTATGGATGGATTTGGCGACTTTTAAAAACGAATTCAATGTAAATGCTCGATTCAGTTAATTCCTTTGTTAGTTTACTAATTTTCTAATATTTTGCATAAGTTAACTATAATGATCAGTAGATATCTGAAGTATCATCATTGTCAGCATGTATATTTAAAATACACATGTAAGGGATAAAAAAAAACTTACACCCATCTCTTTTTCTACACTGTCTTTTTTGCACGATTTTGAAATAACACGGCCAACGAATTTAACGAATTGGTTTTTTACACGAATGTTTTGTTCTTGCACGAATTTCAAAAAAAATTGAGGATTTACGCCCTTTACATGAGGATGATTTGAACGAGTTTATAACAGTTAATGATAATAAAGAAGTCAATACTAGCGAAGTCGGAGGTGAAGTTCAGCTATTAACAGCTGATTTAATTCGCGAGGGCTTGAAATTTGCTACAAGTATGGAACAACATTTTATTACTCATGATCCTGACGTAGAGGGAGCATTAAAATTTCTAAGTAATCTTGTTTAGCAGGATATCAAGAATCATAAAATCAACTTGAGAAACCAAAAAGACAACGGCTAATACGACTTTGTAACAACAAATATCCTGACAGAGGTCGTTAATAAGGAAAGAAATTCTTCGAATCAAAGTCAACGCAGATGTGCTGTAGGCATACCTGACCCATCTACTGGTGATAGCATTTTTGATCCAGTTCGTAATAATCGAGCACGTTTGTTATCAAGTAGCGATAAATAATTGTTACCCGGTAGTTTTATTCCAAATTTCAATTTAAATATTTATGTGTTGTACTATGTACTTATAGACTTAATTTTCATTGCACACTAATTTAAATTTTTTTGTAACAAAAATTGTGTTTTTATTTTATAAATATGTAACATGGATTTTATTATTACTTATTTGCATGGTCTTTTGGAAAAATATTAAGAGATTTTTCATCTTATACACGATTTTTTAAAATTGTGCGTGGAACGTATTCGCAAATTTGCCATACGTCGCATGCATTTTCTTGCAAGAATTTTTTTTGCCCGGTTTTCTAAGGAACGTATGTACCGTATGGAAAATGCCATGTAACAGAAAAACACTTGCTTGTGTTTTTCCTTATACACTGAATGGTGTTAAGAATAGGTAAAAAAAGATATCGTATATATCCTATAATCGGCAATGGGTTATTAATTGGGAAACTATTATCATTGAACAGCAATCTGAAGAAATATCCAGAAAAAAATGAGTAAACAGCCTGAAAAAAATACTAGTGCTTAAAATTTTTTAAAAATGTTAAATTTTAGACACTCTTTCGAATTTATGGAGAAATACTTGACGAAATGGTTCGTAACTTTGGTTTTGAAAAGAGTATCAGGGGGAGGGGGATTTAGGGGATTATCACGCACAAATTAAAAAAGAAAAAAATCTTTGATCACATTTACATTTTCAATCAAATTTCACGAAACTTATTGAAATACTGTCGATACACAAGATTAATATTAAAATTTTAACTTAAGAAATCGTGAGTATTTAATACATAAACAATACTTAATAAAAATAATTTCTACCAAACATGTGAAATACATCAATAGTTTTATCTCAGAATTTTGTCGTTAATAATATAGGGTAACTTTTATGAAAAAAAAGGCCAGTGGAATATCTTGAAAATTCTGAAAGATATTAACCATACAATGAACCGAGTTTTTGTTATTCTGAAATAAACTGGAGGATAAGTATTTTTTCAGATAACTTTGCTACTATTTATTAAACTAACATACGTATATATTTTATATACTTATAAATTTGGCAAATTAAACATATTACACAAATTGCATTAATTGCAAAATCTGAATCTAGTAGATACTGCATTATATATAATAGCAAAGGCAACCCTAAATTTTAAAAAGTAGCATTTAGATATACACTTGCAGTGCTTTCTTAAAGAGTGCAAAAATTTCAAAATTTGTTCCCAATTATGGCGTGACCGTGGTAGCCTAGTGGTCAAGATAACGGACTCGTGGCTGGCGTGTCATGAGTTCGAGCTTAGTACTACTGAAGACCGGCCGCGTAGGGGGGAGATGCACGTTAAAACTGTCAAAACTCAAACGTCCTCCAGTTGCTGTAGATGTTAGGAGGGGAGAGGGTGTCAGCTCAGGTGTCATCCTCGTCACTTGACCATGGTTCAAAATTACGAGACTCGTCACCAAAAGCCCTCGAATAGCTGAATAGTGTGACGTTTCTTTTCTCTCACTCACAATGGGATCAATTCATGTGACGTCATAGCCACTTGATAATGATAACCACATATTTTTAGGCAATCAGTTCAAAATCTCATATGACATCATAGTCACACGATAAAAACAATCATTTGTTTCCAGCTAATCAGTTCATGCACTTCATTGTTACCAACTTTTGATCTTTTCAGAAACTTTCTCTTAAAAAGTACAAATTCGTCAACAATATGCATAAAATAAGATTTTTTTTTATAATTTTAAAATCTTTCGAAGAGAGAAATTTATTTTTTATAACATTCGAATATTTTTACCCAATAATAAAATTTGAAATTTAACCCTAGTTTTACAAATAAAACAACAAGCATAAATAGTTTGATGTTTGTTTTGAATTCAATGGAGAGCACGTGTTTGATTTTATCATGTGACCGTCATGAATTGAGCCCCTTATGGCCACTTCTGAAGTATATTACATAAATTGCATTATTTATTATCTACTTTATGACATTGATATTTTCTAAGATTTTCAGATTTTGTACCTTCCGGTAATTTATGTCATGTAATTTATTACAAAATTTCGGGACGTAATTTCCAAACACGTTCCCACACAACTTGGACTCACAACAACAAAATGTTACTGCAGACCGAGACTGACAGTAACTTTTTTCTCAATGGTGTGGAACTCGATTGCAGTTGGCAGGAGAAACAATAGACACGTCTTTGACAACTCTTTGGTGAATCGTGGCCATAATGCAGCCTTGTAGTATGTTAAGCGTTACACATCACTGGGTTGACTGACTTCTTTCCTAATTTACAACTTGAAGGCTTTGGACCCTCCACCACACACATATTTCAGAGATGGGTGGGGTGGAAGATCTAGCCAAGAATCCGTTGAGCGTCACACAGGTAATTATTTGTTCACTACACTCTGTTTTTTCTCTCTACAAAACTGGAATTTATTTATATTGGAGGAGGAATGTCCTGGCTTCAATACCTCATTCCTACTCCGAACCTGGGATTATCTGAACTGCAGTTGGGTGCATAATCCGAAGGTGAATAGCTTTCTGCCGAATTTGCTTGGTGGTATAGTCACTTTTTGACAACACAAAGGAATATTTGTAAGATGCTTGAGCATATATCCAATCACCTAGCAAAGTTTTAATTAAAATTCTTCGCATTTCCAGGTAAGGACACTGTTAATTGGATTCTTAGTTTTGTCCATTCTTATACAGCGAAAAAAAATTAACACGAAACTGAGGCCACTGAAATATTTTTTCGTGTTAAGGTATCCGAATACGTTCGGAACCGTGCTTTTAAAAAAAGTGCATAAATGGATACTTTTCATGATATTTAGTGTCACTTAGATTAGAATTCATGTATAAAATTGTTTGAATGACATTTTGACAAAAAAAATTATTTAAATACAATATTTCGTCAAAAAATTAACTTAGAATAACATTTTTTCAAAATGTTCTCTTTTTATGAAAACTGCTTCTATTATAATAATATTTTGCCTGTATATAGCTCAGACCTCTGTACAGAGGCTCAACTAT